AGGAAGGAAGGAAGGAAGGAAGGAAGGAAGGAAGGAAGGAAGGAAGGGAAAGGAAGGAGGGAGGGAGGGGACGATAGATTTCTGAAGTGTATTGAGAGAGGAACAAATGACAGTGCTTTTAGGAGATCACAGATCAAAGACAATGCTTCAAACAGCAGTTTAGACATCTAAGGAAGGAAGTCTTATAGGGGTGGCAAATGTTCAAGATAGTCCTCACACCCTCAAAAAGACTAACCAGTGAAACAAGCTAACAGACTTTTAAGAAAAATGCTGACTGTAAAGTACTGTAAAGTACAGTAAACATTTAGAGCAGTGGTTCTCAACACTCCTACTGCTGCAACCCCTTAATACAGTTCCTTATGTTGTGGTGACCCCAACCATAAAATTATTTCACTGCTACTTCATAATCGTAATTTTGCTGTTATGAATGGTAATGTAAACATATAATATGTAGGATATCTGATATGCCACCCTGTGAAAAGTTCGTTTGACACCCAAAAGAGTCACACCCCACAGGTTGAAAAACAGCTGGTTTAGAGGCAAAGTGGGTCATGTTCAAAGGCTAAGAAATTAAGCTGAGGGCTAGGCACGGTGGTTTATGCCTTTAATCCCAGTACTTGGAAGGCAGAGAGAGGCAGGTGGATCTCTGTGAGTTCAAAACCAGTCTGGTCTACAGAGTGAGCTCTAGGGCAGCTAGGCCTAGACAGAGATCCTGTAGATCCTGTCACCAAAAGGAAAAAAAGAAAAAAATAAATAAAAAATAAAGGAAATTAAGCTGGGTCTGAGACAGAGTGCTCAAGAGGTGAGGGAGAACAAACCAGACTTCAATAGTAGCAGCACTGCACTCTTCTTGATGCACAGAATCCTCACAGGAGAGCAGAGCATTGCACACAATGTCAAAACAGCACTCACCAAGAAACACTGAGCCCATCCACAGACCAGGCAAAAACAATGGTGCCTCTGATCAATCACCAGGATTAATCAACCAAGTGATAAGCAACATAATGGACAGTACTGTGCCACTCAACTAATAAAAGCATGACACAGAGGTCCAGTAGAAAGATGGAACCCCTACCAAGCCTGATGTGAACTTGTAATCCTTACTACTCTGGAGGCTGAAGTAACTGTATTGCAAATTCAAGGTCTGCTGGATGTGATGCCACATCCTGTAAACCCAGCACTTGGGAAAGAACAGGAGAAATCCCTGATATTCAGGGTATCACTGAATATTCAAGACCAGCCTAGGCTATATAGTGAGTTCCAGCCTAGCCATGATCATTCACTAAGACCTTGTCTCAAACAAAAAAGTGAAAGTAACACTCTGGTACAAAAAAGTTCAAGTTCACAGGGCATGTTGTTGAATGCCTTTAATCCCACTTGGGAGGCAAAGGCAGGCAGATCTGAGTTCAAGGTCAACCTTGTCTACAAAGAGTCCAAGACGGGTAGGGCTCTGCTGTCTTGAGAAACAAACAAAACAAACAAGCAAAAAAGTTCAAGGTCAGCCTAGGTAACTTAAAGTCAAAAGTGAAAAAAAAAAAAGAAAGAAAGAAAGAAAGAAAGAAAGAAAACAAAGGACTGGAGACAATGGTTCAGTATAGGGCAGTACTTGAAGGGTACAAGGCCCTTCAGTGCTGCAAAGGAAAATGGCAACAAGAAATACAAAACACCTCAAGAGCCACTTCATACCAGTGTGTTTGCACTAACACTGCCAAGCAATAGATATAATATCATAAAAATGAGGCAAAGTTATGTAAACATATTTCTAATGGAGATCCTAGGCAGTGTTTGATACTCATCTCAGCCACACCAAGCAACAAAGAACTAAAATGTTCACATTAGAGAGGAAGGAGAGATGATATAACACTTACTCTTGGATATAAAACAGTTTCTTTCTTACTACTATTACTTACTATTTTTACTATTACTCTGTCTGAGATTAATTATGGCTTTTTTTCTTTTTTCTTTTCTTTGAGTTAGGCTCTTCTCTGCAGTCCAGGTTGGCTTCACATCTTACTGAGTGCTAGGATAGGGCCTGCACTCTCATTCTGGGCAGAATGACCACTAAACTAAAAATCAAGCCAAAACTTTATCTTCATTAGAGGCTTTTTGTTGTTGTTCCAAAGGGGAAAAACAAAACAAAACAAAAACCTGCCAGGTGTAGGGGTGCAGACTTTTAATCCAGCATTGGGGGGTGAGGGAGAGGCAAGCAGATAGCTGAGGTCAAGGTGAGACCCAACTTAAAAATATGAAAACAAAAACAAAGACAAAATCTTACTACTAAGGTCAATCACAAGATGATATTTAGGCTTAAACCAGAAGGGTAACAAAACTTACTAGATAGGGTCTCAGATCCAGTGCACACAACACCAGAGGAGGTTGGATGGTTTTCTGCAATTCAATTACAGTCACCAAGTTAATTCTTTCCATTAAGATCACCCTTACATGTGTATGTAAGTGAGACAGCCATGTTCAATTTAGCTTTTCATTTCTACTGAGAAATAATGAGCTGATCATGAAGATATTTGATATATTACTGCCTCTTAGTCAGAAAACTGGACTTTAGAGTCCAAAGGAATAGAGCTGGGCATGGTGTTACACATCTGTAACCTCAGCACTCAGGAAGCTGTGGCAAGATGACAAATTCAAAGCCAGCCTGCACAAATCCAAACAAAATACAACAAAAAGGACTGTAGCCGGGGCTGGAGAAATGGCTCAGCAGTTCAGAGCACTGGTTGCTCTTCCAAAGGACCCAGGTTTAAATCCCAGCACCCACATGACAGCTTATAACTGTCTGTAATTCCAGTTCCAGTGGCTCTGACACCCCTCACACAGGCACACATGGAAGCTGAATACCAACGTAAATAAAATAAAAACACAGAGGTTTTTCCTTTCTTTGTTCACCCTTCCCTGAGCTAGGTAGGTGGTGAGCACTCACCCCTGTGCCAGTCCTACTGAATTCCGTTAGCATGGATTAGAGGAACAGTTTAAAATCCATTGAGTGCAGTGTAAATTTAAGTACAT